GATGATTTACTTCAGTTATCAGAAGATATCTCGGTTCCTTGGTTAATTGCAGGTGATTTTAATGAAATTGCCTTTCCAAGTGAGAAACGTGGTGGTGCTCCAGTTGATACTAGCAGATGTAATAAATTTGCTTCTCTTCTAACTGATATAAAGATGATTGATCTTGAAGGAATAGGTTCTAAATTTACATGGCGAGGACCAAGATTTCTTCATTTAGATAGAGTCTTTAAACGTTTAGATCGAGCTTGTAGCAATGCTGAATGGAGGTTGATGTTTCATGAAGGCCAGGTTCGAGTGCTTCCTCGTATTAACAGTGACCATAATCCTATCCTTATTACCTTAGAGCCAAGCAAAGTTGATGGGGTGGAACGCCCTTTCCGTTTTCATTCTTTTTGGTTGGATCATCAATTTTTTAATAATTTCATCAAGGAAAACTGGCGTCAGGATCAAAGAACAGTTGATAGTCTTCGTGATTTCACTCCTCTTATTAAGCAGTGGAATAAAGATGTGTTTGGTAATATCCATCATAAGAAGAACAGGTTGATTGGTAGGCTTGAAGGTATCCAGAGGGCAATTTCTGAGCAGAATAAAAGCCATTTGGAAAAGATTGAAGGCAAGATAAGGGGTGAACTTGAACAAGTTTTAGAACAGGAGGAACTTTTGTGGTTTGAAAAGTCTCGTGCTACTTGGATAGCTTAAGGAGATAGGAATACAAAGTACTATCATACGAAAACAATTGTTAGACGTAGAAGGAGCAAGATCTTGGAGTTGAAAGATGATGCTGGAAACTTGATTAGAGAAGATCACAACATTGCACGGGTAATAAATGCTTACTTCTCTAAACTATTTTCTGAAGAAAACCATGATCGTCCTTGGGTCCAGACTCTTTGGCCAAAGGTGGACGATGAGACTGTTGTTAACTTAGGTGCTCCAATTTCAAAAGATGAAGTCAGACGAGCTTTCTTTTCTATGAAAGATTCGAAAGCTCCAGGGGAGGATGGCTATACCGCGGCATTCTACAAAAAGAACTGGGAATTTATTGGTGAACAGATTTGGAGAGATATCAAGTATTATGCAGAAAACCCTTCCAGCATTGAGGAAGTCAACGGTACTCTGATCACTTTGATCCCCAAAGTTCCTAAGCCAATGTATGTTTCTCAATTCAGGCATATTTCTTTGTGTAATGTCATTTATAAGGATATGAGCAAGATCATTGTGGATAGGCTTAAGCTTACAATGGAGAATTTAGTTTCTCCTTACCAAGCTAGCTTCGTGCCAAATCGTCAGCTTCAAGATAATATTATAGTAGCAAAGGAGCTGGTTCATTCTATGGGGAGAGTAAAAGGAAAGAAAGGTACAATGGCAATCAAACTGGACCTTGAAAAAGCTTATGATAAACTCAGTTGGAGTTTTATCTATAAAGTGCTTATTGAAGTTCAGTTTCCTGATTGGATGATTGATGTTATAATGGCTTCTATAATTTCTAATCGTTCGAGGGTCTTGATAAATGGTGTGGCTTCGGATTGCATAGTTCCTCAGAGAGGAATTCGTCAAGGGGATCCAATATCTCCTTATATTTTTGTGTTGTGTGTTGAGAAGCTTTTCCACTTGATCGCTGAAAAAGTGACTATGGGTTCGTGGAAGCCTATTAGAGTCTGCAGAAGAGGGCCGAGTGTATCCCACCTTTTATTTGCAGATGATATCATTCTCTTTGCGGAAGCAGATATGGAGCAAGCTAAGGTGATTATGGATTGTATTAATCTCTTTTGTGAGATGTCGGGGCAAAGTGTTAGTGCAAATAAATCTTTGATTTATTTTTCCCCGAATACTGATACTCAAGTTGCTACAAGGATTGTCAACAGAATGGGCAGATATTTAGGCTCTATTGTTAAACAAGGGAGATATATTAAAGCAGACTATGGAGCTATCAAGGATAGGATACGTTCAAAACTGGATGGTTGGAAAAGCCATTGTCTTTCTTTTGCTGGTCGAGTTACTTTGGTGAAATCGGTCATTGCTGCAATCCCTTCTTTCCATATGCAGAATGGTCTTTTACCAGTAACGTTTTGTGATGAAATTGAGCAGATACAAAGGGCTTTCATTTGGGGAGATCAGGATAGCAGAAGGCGGGCTAATTTAGTAGCTTAGGATCAAATGTATAAACCCAAAGATAGAGGTGGTTTGGGAATAATTAACCTTCGACTCCAAAATGAAGCTTATATTCATAAACTGGCGTGGAAGGTGTTAACTAAGAAAGATGATTTATGGGTTAAGATTTTAGTAGCCAAGTATGGTAGAGGTCAAGACTTAAGGAGAGGTATAAAGGCAAAATCATATGACTCTAAACTTTGGCGTGATCTTGCTAAATGTTGGAGTAATTTCCTTGCTGGTCTTAGATGGGAAATAACAGATGGTTCTGAACTAAAGCTTTGGACTGATAACTGGTTGAGATGGGAGGAAAATTTGCAGCAGTTGTCGAGCAATCAGGTGCCGTGGGAGGAGAGTCAGAAATCAATTGCAGATTACATGGTGGATGATGGTTTCCGTCTTGAAGTTGTTCATCAATTTCTGGAGTCAGATTTGGCTGATGCAGTAACAAATCATCTCAGGCTTATTCCAAGGAATGGGGAGGATAGATTAGTTTGGATCAATAATCATCACTCAACTTCTTTGGTTAAAGTCGCTTACTGTAATCTTATGAACTTCCCAGCAGATGTTCACACTAGCTTATGGAAAAAAGTTTGGTCGTGGAATGGACCAGAACGAGTGAAAGTGTTTATGTGGATGACTTTGCTTGCTAAACTTTCAGTACGTAGCAGAACCAGTAAGTGGAGCGGAGGTTCAAATGTCTGTCCCAGTTGTCCAAATCATGAGGAAACTATTATTCATGTTCTTCGTGATTGTAGACATGCTAGGAAAATTTGGCAATCTTGGTTTACAGGTTCGATACCCAATTCCTTTATGAATTCGAATTTGCAGGATTGGTTGACTTTAAATATCGATAACATGTGGTACTCCAATAAAGTGAAGGACTCGAGGGATATTTTCTTTACTACTTGTTGGTTTTTGTGGAAGTGGAGAAATTTGGAGATCCATGAAGATCATTTCTGTCATGATGAGCAATCACAGGCTTCAATTTGGATGTTTGTCCAACAGATTCTGCAAGCCCGAATTTATCAGCGCCGTGGTGATTCCAACGATAGCGTTTGGACAGCCCCCAAGCAAGGGTGGGTTAAGTTGAATTGTGATGGAGCTTCTTCTAGTGGCATGAAAAAAGCTAGTTGTGGTGGTATATTAAGAGATCACAATGGATCCTTTTTGGGAAGCTTCTATTGTAATTTAGGTTCCTGCAATCCTCTTGATGCAGAATTATGGGGATTACTGAAAGGTTTGGAACTGCTTTGGGGAACAGGATTAAAAAGAATAGAGCCAGAATGTGATTCTAGCCAAGCCATCCAGATGTTAAAGGAGCAGCATGAAGATCCTAGGGACTCTCAAGTCACTAGCAGATTGAGATTATGGTTAAAAGCAGATTGGACTATTCATCTTGTTCATACCAAGAGAGAAAACAACAAATGTGCTCATTGGTTAGCTAAAGCTGGGCAGACTAATAATCTCCATTTCAAGATTTTTAAAGATCCTCCTCCTCAGTTGATGGAACTTATAGTTGCTGATGCTAGAAATATGTCTAGCTTGTTAGTTTCTGATTTGTAATTTCTTTCTGTTTCTGGGGCTTAGTCCCTCTTTATTTACAAAAAAAAAAAAAAACACTTTTTTTTCTTTTTTTGTCCCAAATGGTATAAGGGACTGGGTTTTCAACTGTCACCAATGGCAAATATTGTGGGCTTTTGTCGAAGAAGTCGAACAAGCCCAGTCACGTGTATAAAGCTGAGACCGTAGCCTGCCCTTTTTAGCTTACCACAAAATGATTATACCATTAGCGGCTGTTCAAACTTATATAAGCATGCCGAAAATATGAAACCAAGCTTGAAACTCAAATAAACAATAGTGCGTGTGCCTCATGAGGAATATAACCGAAATGTTATACAATTAATAATGCCGAGCACGATATGCTCATAAAAATATTTTGTTATTACTTACTTTATTCTAAATTATTGACATGATTTCTTAAAAGCAAATAATTTCGCTAATATAGAGTAAATGATTACGGAAAAAAAATCAATATAATGTTATTGAACTAACTTAAATAAATCTAGAAAGTATCACATTCATATTCGCGTCACTTTTTCAAATTTCGAGGCCTCAATCCAGCTTTTTTTTTTTTGTTTTGGTAAAACTCAATCCAGCTTTTAGATGCGGGTATTTATTTGGAACCAAACATAAACATGATCTAATATTCTCTCTAATTTTTTTTATTCAATTTTATTATTTGAAATAATCAGAAGTAGAAATTTGAAGGGTAACCAAGACAAAAATAGAACCTATAAAAGATGAAAAATATTATTTTCCTTTTGCATAAGATAACATATCTCACGTTTTCTTACTTTGATTTTCACATCTCATCTTTTTTTTTTCTTGTAATGGTGGGACCCACCTATTTTTTCTCTACAACATAAAATTAATCTTATGTAAAATGAGATTAATAAAACCCATAAAAGATAGAAAAATAAAAAAAAGTAAAAAAGTGAAGCCAAGCTAAGCTACAGCTAGAGTTCAAAACCAGCTCTAAAATCATAGAAAAGTTATGAACCTTTACCCCCAAAATTATAAAGGGTTTTGTATTTGTCATGCAACATGACAAATGCAAAATTTTTTACACATATATTAATATTTATACTGTATTTTTTTTTTATTTTAAATATGATAGACCCCACACTTATTATCTCTATAGCATGACAAGATAATTGTACTATAATATATACTTGTTTTTCCCAATTAAAAAAAACAAAAACAAAAGAGAAACAACAAAAACTGTGTGATGACGTATTGAAGATTTTCCTTGGGCCTCTTTATTGTTTTTCACCTTCTTCTTCTCTTTCATCTTCTCTTCCTCGTTTTTTACTTTGTAGCGAATCCCTTACTTACTTCAACCTCTTCAATCTTCATCTACTTATGCACCATACCCAAGAAACCTTCTTCTTCCCTCAGTGATGGGTTTCCCAGGTACTGTTCTCTCTCTCTGCAACTTCCATCTATTTTATGCCTCGCCCTTTTGCCCATTTTTTGTTGTTGTTGTTGGAATCTCGTAGTACCCCATTTGTGGTTCGCATCCAATACTTCTTTTTTATGTGTTTGTACGCTTTTTCAGTTCACCTCTTTTATTGGGTCAGTCTCTATTTTCCATTTTTTTTTTTTGTTTACTGTTGTTTTGTAAACCTTTCCTCAGTTTTGCAATGTATCCTATGCTTCTTTTGAAAAAAAAAAATGAGCGCTTTATTCTTGAAATATCACATTCGATTTTGTAGCATATATTTTGTTGAGTGGAAGAAAAGAGAATGAAGGGATTTACTTTTTATCTGTGCAAAGCTTGTGGGGTTAGTTACTTTGTGTAAAAAAATGGATCCTTTTTTTGTTGTTGTTTCTGTGGATGTATATTTAGGGAAATTATAAAGAAAAATGCAATTGAATCTTAATGTTTTGGAATGAATCGTGGGCTACCCTAATGTCTACATTTAGATCACGTAGTGATTTGCTATTAGACTTTGTGATATCTATGTATGAAGTAAAACTCATTTGTTTTTGGCTCTGCTATGGCTCTTTTCTTGTTCAATAGGCCCATAAATTAGATTAGCTGGGAGGGATCATCTACAACTATTCAGATTCATTACCGTTGGTTTGATTCTGAGACTAAAATACAGTTATTATCCAATTGTATATCCAGTCCCTATTGCAATCTATAACCTGCTTACAAGGTGCTATCACTGTGCTGAATTCAGGGCTTTGTTCTGAGTAGATAAGATAATCACACCTTTACAAGATGCCATATTATATACAGAGACTTTATAGGCTATGTCAGGCATCCTTTTCTCCAGATGGACCTGTTTCAGAAGAAGCCGTTGCAAAGGTTCGCGAGAAGTTAGGTATAATGCTATTTTCCTTGTTGGTTTTTGACTTTTAGTTATATGTGCATATCATTTGTCTTAAGCCGAATAGTTTTGTTTTCTGAGGGTTTGGAGCATTTGATTTTGATAATCATTTAAATGACATGCAAATAGACTTATTCCTCATGATTTCATTGGCCGAGCATTCTTCACTAAATGTTTGTCCAATCTAGTTTGTTTTTTAACTGATAGGTGTGTTTTCTTCATGACGTGTGATACCTGTTAATGAGTAAAAACTGTAAACACATAGTGAGACTTGATAGGTCTAAAAAATTGATTTTAGTATCCTATGTCTATAAAATTTTAAGCCTTCTCTTTCTCTCTCTCTTCTTGTTCTTCTTCTCCACTTTAGGGGTTTGTATTTTTGAAGGAGTTACCAGCTCAAGGTTGAATTTGGAGGCACAGTAATGACTGTTTTGTCATTAAGGTTTCTTTGATTCTTCTTAAGAATTGAATACTGAGTCATGATTTTCTCTCCAAATGTTTGGATGAACTTGTTCTCTTCTTTTCATGAGTGAAATAAGGGTCACCATTTTCTGTTTAAATTTTAGGATGAATTAAAAGTACATGAACCTTTTGTTGTAAGCTTCATTTCTATTTGTTATTTATTAATTTAGTTTTTCTGCTTATCAATATGTTAATGCACAGTAAAAAAAATAAACCTTCTGAAATGTGATTTGGTACTGGTCATCTGGTTACCTCCCCCTACTAGTATCCTGTGTATTAAATCCTGCTCAACCTCCCAATCACTTTGTAAGATAGATCAAAGATACCTAAACTGTGCTACAACTTGTGGTTTGATGTGACAATTTTCACATCTAACCAAAATCCTTTTGTAAGCATGTGATTTTTAATATTAGAGTTTGTGGTTTTATACTCTTCTCTATGGGCTGTGTGCAAGTATGCATATGTAGGTGTAAATTGTAATTTCACATATTAATTGTCTCTCCTTGAACATTGGTTCTATTCTATGAGTCTTTTAAGATGCACAATCCCATCACACGTGAACTTCCTGTATCTTACTTTTTTGTTCCCTTATGATTTTCTACATCATATGATTTTCATCTTGCTACATAATAATTTTTCTGTCCAACTGAGATTTTTGTAATAACCTTTAACATAATCTTTTTTCAGAAAAAATCAAGCCATCAGATGTAGGTCTTGAACAGGAGGCACAAGTGGTTCGTAACTGGTCTGGTTCAATGCTTGACTGTAATGGGAGCCATCAACCACCACCACCAATCAAATACTTGCATTTGTATGAATCTGACAGATTCTCCGTAAGTATTAATTCTCAAAACCCCACATAATTTCTTTTTCACTGTCAGCAATTTTTATAGAATCTGGGCCTTATATTGGGTATAGCTACTGAAGTTTGATTAATAATTTTTATCTTTATCAGATAGGAATTTTTTGTATGCCTCCCTCATCTGTTATTCCCCTTCATAATCATCCTGGAATGACAGTCTTAAGCAAGCTCCTATATGGTTCAGTGTATGTTAAATCCTATGACTGGATCGATTTCCCCGGCCCAACTGATCCATCTGAAGGTTTGTTCTTTATAGCTTTACCTAGTTTCTTGTTGCTTAATCCGATTTTTACTCTCCTGTATCAGCATGGGAATGCATCAAGTGTTGAATGTGGTGACCCCTTCATTGTCTTTGTTCTGTCAAAGAAAACTAGCACCATCCTTATTGAGGTAGGACAAGATGGTATTATGTCATCATTCTCCAAAATAGCTTGTGTCCACATCCAACTAAAAGGGAAAAGCCAGGAGGTGTGTTTAAACGTCAATGGATGATATCTGACTTCTGTTGATGTTAGTACATGATCTTGGTTAAAACTCATCAACTATTAAAAGCACGAATAACAATGCTAAAATTGTGTAGAAACTGTAAACTGACAAATTAGATGTCTGGTAAATTAAAAAATTATGGATAAGGGTAGTCAGAATGGATAATTTGTAGTTACTTGTTTGATCGTTGATTCTTGCTCTATTCCTTTCTGGTAAAAGCCTTGAAGAAAGGCTTTTCTCCCCTTAAAAGTTAAAGCCAATTGGAACTTCCATTTCACAGGCATGGTTTTTAGGTTTTCTTTATATGCTAGTAACACCAACTTTAGGTCTTTTATAACTAAACTTTGCAAGAGGGTGGGAGTGAGTTTCTCTTATATACTTATATACCCAAATTTAGAGATCAAGAGGCATGATTTTTAGGTGAGTTTGTCGTATTTACTTATGTACCCAAATTTAACGATCAAATATTACTGGGTAGGTGGAACCTTATAATTGTAACCGAAGCCTAATAATATGCTATTCAACTTTAGAGAGGGGAGATTGTGTGTTTTTGGGTTGGGATTGGTCTCAATGGTTCTTTGTGAGAACTATATTGCTATTGTATCATGAAGTGCATCTCAATGTCTCATTAGAAGGTATGTATTTAAATTGAGGAAAACTGAACTACCCATAAGCTATTTCCCTTATGTTGTGTCATTGATCAAGGGATGAACAAGGCTCCATCAATACCTCATCAGATAAGTTACAAGGAATTCAATATCACACTCAATTGCACTTTGATATAGGGTGGATTCACAAAAGGAATCAGAGAGGGGATGGGTATAATTCTGGCAGACAACATATTATTTACAAGGAACCATTAGATTTGCCACAAAGCAAGGAAAATCCTTTGTATAATACTCTTGCAAAAATATTTTTTATCTCATTTTACTTATAGCATGGCCTTTTATGGGCATATAAGAACTTGATCAGCTAGTAAGCAACCTTCTAGAATTTTCCTAATACGAATAGCATCCTAACATGATTTTAATTCTACCATAATTACCCTAATTAACCCACTAAAATCCCTAAAAAAGCTCTACGAAAATGAAATTCTAATTATAAAAAATACAATACAACTATAATCGATACCTCCCTTGTCCTGATCAGTTCTGCTCCACTCGCAAACAAAACTTATCCTTGAGGTTTTGGATGGATCATAGATCTTGAAATCTTCTACTCCATATAAAAGGATGTTTTGAATATTTGAACATCTTGAATGGGGCTAATCAGTTATTGAATGGGACCAGAATGGAACAGACCTAAAAAGGGGTCACCTGGGTCTAGTGCATGGGGCTCTCATCATTTTAGGGCTTGCCTTCGCATCTATAGCAATAATATCAATACCTTCTTAAAATTCTGAAGGCTCATGGATCTGAAGATTTATAATTTTTTGATGAATGAATAGATATATGCCACACAGGCATTGACTTGTTGGATGATTTATTGATTGACCAACTGAAATATTTTCTTGAATGAAATTCAAAAAGTGAACTGGATTAGCTATTGTCCACTTGATTAAACAAGTTGGATACCCTAGATTGGAGGAATTTCAATATACAAAGGTTTTGTCCTCTAGAATTTATTTCAAAATGCCTACAGAATCATGGTTGCTTTACAAACTCTCCAGACAGAGAGACTTGCTTGTTGTTCTTGCTTGAAAGCATGTATTGCAGATATTCAAACATACACCATGATTTATGTTGCGTAAAATCGGCAAGTGCACCGATTGTACCAAGTAATAAAAGATGAGTAAGAATATCGTCCCACGAGGATTGAGGCACCGAGTTTACTTTAACTTTTCCTTTCTTATTGGATGAACAAGAGTTGGTTTGAGAGTAATGGTGTTTGTAACAATTGTGAACTATTCAATATTTTGTGAACAATTCAGAGAGAAATTTGAAAACTTAGAATAAAAGGTTTTTGAGAAAATATTTTAAAAAGCTATTGCAGTAAAGGACGCCAACACCTTTCCGATCCCCACCTTGTAATATTAATTAATGTTTACATTTAATTACCCAATTGATCAAACAATTCACCATCTATTAATCAATTAGTTAAGCCCTAATTCCTTAGTGATCTTAACTTTATTAACCCTATTAGAATCCTAATTCCTTAGAAATCCTTTTTCAAGTTAATCCTTTAAACCAGTGAATTTTCCACGTTTGCAGTTCATGTAGCCTATTCCTAGTGCATACATGAACTGTTATTTTACCCTTTTGTTAGGAACTAGAATCTCAATATTCCTATTGAAAACCCTAACTCTCGCAATCCTAATAGTGTGGCCAATTCTAAAAGAATTATAGATGAAGAACATGATAAAATAAATGCAATTGAAATAATTAAATCTAAAATTAACCAAACTACAAGGGGTTCACATCAAGGGTTGTGACCCTTACCACAATATTAAAAGATTAGCCAGACATATTCATGTCTGACAAAACAAAGTGTTCCAAAGAATTCATGAAACAACTAATAACCGGAAAATTGAGAGAAGAAGAAAGCTTCAATCTTCACTCCAAACGCTTGCTTCGATCTCTGCCTCCGTGTTCTTCTCTGTGTAAAAGTCTCTTTTTCCTTAGGTTTCTGACTCTTTTTATAACCCAAGACTAAATCAGGTCACAATCTCTTCAAAAGATTTGATTTAATTTCAGTTTCCGTCCAAATCTGCACGCTGAAAACACCAGGCCCATTGCCGCGCGATTAGCGCTAGATCCACGCTAATCGCGCGGTGATCCAGAAGAAAACTTCTCTTTCTGGCGCGGTTAGCGTGACCACCGTGCCATCAGCGCGGATCACAATGGATTTTTCCCTTCCTTCCTGGATTGTGGCGCGATTAGCGTGATCTTCATGCTATTCGCGTGAGTCAGTTGTCTGAAACCTAACTTGCTTTCATGCTTTTCTCCTGTAAAAACATATAAATAGCGTGAAAGCTTGTCTGAAGGAAAATTATCAAGGATTCGTTAGAAATACAAATTTTTATCAATGAATTACTGTTAAATCCTTGTTCTTTTTGCTCTGAAAAACCTATATGCTGAAGGCATATCAATTTATCCAATTCTTCTCTACTTCTTACCATGGCTATTTGGATTGAATTCAGCTATGTTACAAATTGACACTAGACAGAAACGTGAAAGGAATTAGAAAGGGGGCTAGCTGTTGATGTAGTATAAAACCTAAAAATTACTAGATAGAAATTATGGAATATAATATGAACCTTGGAAAATCCTGGGTATAATATCCATAAGTGAAATTGTTAAATATAAGTTTTATCTAGTTTTACACATGGCAGGCCCTTTACATGCATGTTAGAATTTGAATAGAATTTTTGTATTCCATATTGTATCTTAAAAAAGGAATTTGATTCTATCATAATTACCTCTAAGTTACCTAAAAACCCAATAAAATCCTGAAGTTTTTGTTAGACTATTAGCATTCTTATTATGTTAGGAATCTGACTCTTGTAAGGTTTGCAGTCTTACTGTGCTGGGCTTGTACTAGTAGTACTATACTAATTATTAATATAAATAGGTGTTCGTTTTGTTTTATATCACATCCCGTATCAATCTGTTATCATATTATTAAAAACATCTCTGTTCTCTTCCTCATGGTATTAGAGCGGCCATAATATGATACTGCTTTGTTTGGTGTTCTCTCTCTCTCCCTCTCTTCTTCTTCCTCTCACGTTGCTGTAGTTTCTGGTGGCTGTCTTATATCCTCCTAGACCTCTTTTGCTTGCATCATTTCTGTTGCCAAGTCATACTTGGTTTACTACGCAAATTGTGTTGAAATTTTGTAGTTAGCACATCTGATGGCTTGATGGCTCAACTGATTTAAGTTTTGAAAGTAGCATAAAGTAAATTTCTTATGGTTTAAAGCTGAAACTGTCGCAAGAATGAAAAAATAAATTGGTGATTCATTTATGTAAATAAACACTGGTTCATTAGTTTCAGCTGCGAGTGAATTCATGGATGCAACTGCAAATTAATATACCTTTTTTTGTTGTAACTATCCTTTTCTTTCTGAGGGGATAGGGGAATTAATATTAATATGGTAATTTTACTTTTAATTATCTTGAAATTTGTACTAGAACTACCTTTTTGGTCTTTATCAGTGTAGCTTGACCTTGCCAGAATTTTTTTTTTGCCCATGCCAAAAATCAATTCCTGAAAAAAAAATCAACCAGTGCCAAGGCCAGCCAGCTATGGAGGAGGCTGTTATTTTCATAGTTCACTGTTATTTCCACAGTTCTATAAATAGGAAGCCAACTATTTTTGAAAACCAGCCAGTGCCAAGGCACTTGTTGGTTTCAACGTGGCTCCGCCATTGCTTGCCCTAGCATCTAAGTTCCTGTTATATTTCGGTGGCAAAGTTCTTGACTTCAGTTTGTCTGATTTAGGAAAATACTCACTATGTGGTTGTTTCCTTTGTCTGCGGCTGTACAGTGATGCAACAATAATTGTAATACCCTCACTTTTGACCATTTAATAGAGATTATTCAAGTTAGCATACCCTAGTAATGGACTGATCGTATAATTTCTCATATGTCAAACTTTACCACTAAAAGGAGAATATTTTGTGAGCTAAATTTTGATATGACTATATTGGTGAAAATGTTTGATGTGCTTGCTTAAGTCAATTTACAATTATTGAGTTATTTTACTTAAGCATGTAACTTTGTTGTTATTTTGCTTGTATTTACATGTCGATGGGAACAGTTTTCCCTGTATTTTTTCCTCTTTCTATTGTCAATATGTAGAAATCCTTTTTCTGTGGTATTGCATGCTCAGGAGAAACTAGTTATTCTCCACTTCTCCCCTCAGACAATTGTCTGGCTTTACTGTTTAGGAAATCATTTGTAGATTGCTGCCACTTCTTTCTATCTTGCTAAGCATAATAATAATGTGCATAAAATCCTATTTAATGAGGGCTAATATGTCTTGTGTTAGCTAGCAGCGTTCAGTGTTTATTTGTTTATAATTTATTTAGTTGTTCATCATCCCTATGAAAATTAAATGTTTTTATTATCTCGCAGAAAACTTGTTTATCATCTTTTTCTTTCATGGTAGGTTTCCTTTTATAAATGCTGTCTTTTTTATAAAATTTTATCCTTTTACAATTTCTTATCTCCCTTTTCCTCATGTGGGAAAAGATAATGATTAATGATTTTGTTTTATTGTCCCACAACCAATTTGTTATTTACAGCTAGAGCTGCAAAGCTTGTCAAAGATACAGAGATGACAGCACCAAGTCCAACAACTGTTCTTTATCCTACCATTGGAGGAAACATACATTATTTCAAGGCCGTAACCCCTTGTGCAATCTTTGACATATTATCTCCACCTTACTCTTCAGAACATGGGAGACACTGCTCTTACTTCCGAAAATCCCAAAGGAAAGATCTTCCAGGTAATCTTATTTATATCTATTGCTGCTGGTTCAAGTTTACCTTGTATGTAGCTTGTGTCCCAAGTAATTGTTGGTTTCACCAGTAAATATTGTGTTCTGTTAACCATACCATATTATTATCAATATTCATTTCAATTGCAGATAATCTTGAGTTGAATGGAGATACAGTTTCTGAAGTGACTTGGTTGGAAGAATTTCAGCCTCCTGATGACTTTGTGATCCGGAGAGGGCTGTATAGGGGTCCAGTTATTAGAACTTGAAAATTTTCTTGTTTTTCTGTATTTTACCTTCAAAAAAGAATTTGGCTTCTTATCAATTATCATTAGGTTACAGCAAAAGGAATTGATTGTTAAGGAGTTGTCAAAAAGCCGATACAATAATTTTATTCTTTTGGCAGTGTCAGTTAGGCATTTGTACATAACAGTACCCTATTGTAGTCTCTATTATTAAGTCACTGACCTCAGCTTAATCCAGTAGAATACTTACGGAATTTTAAAAAAGACCTCAATCATGATGAGTGGGCTTATTGAATTTTGTTTGTTTATTGTTGAGAATTAGATACTATATCATGTCATTTTTGTTTTCTCTTTGTCGTGTGTTTATACTGTGCAAACAAACTTCAGTTACAACCCATTTCTTTAACTCTATTTTCACAGTTTATTTTGACAACTTTTTCATTTTTTATGGTATAAAGTTTGAAAAACTATTCTATCTACATGAGATAATTTTTTTTTCTACATATCTTTCGATAACTGTGTCATCTTTTTCTTTTTTTTTTTAATTTTTTTTTTCAGGTGGTGGAGCTCACAAATTTATCTCTATAACATGAGATAACTTATTTCTTTTATCACGAGATTAATAAAACCTATTAAGTTTATGTGTCATAATTTAAGTGGGTGTAGTATTAAAAATTTATTCCTTCCGCTGTAAAGAACTATTTCAACCAAAAATCTTAAGGTGTTGGGTGAGAGTTTTTTTAATGATTTATATTATATTATTTTCTAACACACCCTTTTACATAAGAGCTCTTTGAGTTTGAAATGTGGATATTGTATAGACCTAATTTTTTATTTACCTTTTGTGTTTTTATTTAATTCCACTGGAAAGTGGGGAGTGATAGGGATTGAACTCGTGACTTTGTGGTCACTGAAGCTCTGATACTATGTAAAAAATTATTTCAACTCAAAACTTTAAGGTGTTGGATAAATATTTTTTAATAATTTATATTATTCTCTAACATTTGCTCTTCATTCCCATAAAACAAGAAAAAATTAAAATTTAAATCAGCTCAATCAGAATAAAAAAGCAGGCCTATAAGATTTAACCGTATGGATTTCAATGCGAGAAAGAAAACAATGCTCAATTGCATCTTGGGCTCACCCCTTCCAATTCACTCTGAAGTTTCACGTCAAAGTATCTAATATTTTTGCATGTATAATTTGAAATAATGACATGCTTACCTAAGTACTCATTCTGCAGTCATAATATTACCAGGGGTAGAGATTAGATAAAGTAATTAGGTCTGAAATATTGTTCTAATCTTGCATGATTTGTCGCGGTCTTGTTGTTTCAACTTCAAATGCAATATTTCGAAATCTAATTATGCCCAAGAGTTGGTTGTGTATTTTCCTTTAGAGATATACATAGGCCTAAAAGAAAAATAGTTGAACTAGGAAGGGACTGCATTTGAAATGCCACAAGGTTATGACATTTGATTTTAACCAATTATTTGAGCTTCCATTGGTTTAATTAAATTTAGATTACGTATGCTATTATTTTTATTGCAAATTTCTAGCAAAATAATGGTATGTGTGTATACTACTTAGCTCGTTGCTCACCTCTCTCACTTCTCACCTTTAATATATTTGTTAATTTATATTAAGCAGATTCTTCCCTTTTTTTTTCTTTCGAAAACCATTTGTTTATAATAATATTAATAAACAAATCAACAACAATGAAGGTGGTCCAAAAAAAAAAACATAAGCATAATAAAAAATTCAACTCCAGTCCTGTCATTTCTTAATTGAAAAAGAAAATTTTAAATGTCACATTACAGAGTTAATAATTTGTGAAATCGCCAAGCAGGAGAAAGTTACATGCACTTTGTGTAAATTATAAAAAATTAATTCAACCCAAAAATTTAAATGTTGGGTAAAAATCTTTTAATGATTTATATTATTTTCTAAAACATAACTAGAGTTTTGTATCCAACTAAAACTGTAGAAAGAATTAGAAGGACTCTTTTTAAGTTTCTTCCACCCTGATGCATAATCAAAATGTATTATCCTACTAGCTCATTATTTTTTTTCCAGGGACGGAATTTCTTGAGATTCTGACTTCCAATAAAGAAAGTAATAAAACAAAATAAAACACAAGCACGAAGTCTACAGCTAATTTTTTTTTTTTTTTTTTTCCTTTTCTTTCCAAATCAGCTAGTAGCCAAAATGGTTGCAAAGTTTAACTCAAAAACTCTCCGCAAAACATGGGCATGTGATCAATTATGATCTCTCTAGTACAACTACACAGCATGGCATTATTCTCTCTTAGTGTGTCTGTGTCATAATTTCTAAGAGTATTTTCTTATGAAGGTTTCTATTTGCGTTGGCGAAAGAGTCGCCGCAAAGGTAGGCATTGAAGCGATACATTATTATTTTATGTGACTTCCAATCTCACAGATTACTAAGAGGAGTAAACAGCCAAAATTCTAAGACTCTGAAATCGGATACTTGATCGAGAACATGGGAAAGAATGAAGAAATATATAGATTGCTCTAGTCTCCGAAGGTCTATTCGATGATTTTCTTATTTATTCCTGCTAGCTATACATCTTTGATTAAGTCTCTGCATGTTGTAGAGGAATATCTGACCGTATATTATTTATATATATAAAAGTAGGGGTCACAATTCGAGTTGATACAATACGACATGATATTATATAAATTTTACAAAAACACATGAATGTACTTAATATGAATGGAGCATGAATTTAGCATGAATTTGGAAAAGGATCAAAATCTTGAATACAACTCTCAGTTATCTTTTGGATTGACACAATACGATACAAATAACTTGTCAATCTTAACATGTGCTGCTTATTATGCGAGTTGACACGATATGAATATTTTGTAAATCTCAAAGTGTGTCACTTATTATGTGGATTGACACAACACGACATATAACACAAATAACCGGTAAAAATATTAACTCAGTATGAATAATTTGTCATATCAAAGTGTGTCGTTTATTATGCAGGTTGACATGACACGATACAACACAAACAACTTGCAAAAATATGAACTGGGATCAATTTCATGTTTGTGGGTTCACACCCTATAAGACATAAATTTTGTGTGTCAGATTTTGCTAATACAAACACGACGCAAATTTGAAAATGAATCAACCTAAACACCATTTTTTTTTGTGTGCCGTATTCGTGCGTCGGCAAGTACTCGTATTGAAAATTGCGACATCTAAATATAGTTGTTTATTTTTTGAATATGCTCTTAGCTCCTAAGGTATATTATTAGTTGGATTCTTATTGTGAAGGTGAAGAAATTTGAGTTCCTTTGCATTTCATAAATTTCTTATTGTGGCTGTTAGGATTCAAATTGAATCAATTTGCATTCATTCGCGATTATTGCAAGGTACCTTTAATGTAACTTATACTGAGGAAGAAAAGGGACTTTAGTCCTGTTTACCAAAAAAAAAAAAAAAAAGACCTTAGTCCTATGTTAAAGGAATATTTAATTAGTGGGAATCAATCTTGTACTTACGAAAAAAAGACGGAAGTTTTAACTGGTGAAGGGCTTTAGTTACGTATTGAGGTGTCAGCCCAAATATACTGAGCTCACCCGAATTGACGCTCTATTTAATAATTTGAGAAAATAAAAGCAATACTACTATTCACATATGTATGATTCATATTTATAATTTTTCATTATCTGACTATTGTGTATATTTTCTTTGATTCTGTCACTTTAATTCTGTCACTTTGATTCTGTCACGCAATCTCCTAAAGAATATCTAAACATTAACACCATACTAGCACGGAGTAGTAACTGTTCAGATATTCTCGCGTCGGCACTATGCCTAAGACATAGATTTTGAGAGTTTATTTTATTTTATGGTTTTACTAAATTGTTAATAAGTTCATATAATTTTATTAACGAAATCAACATATTTTTTTAAATTACTAAATAAATCTTTAATTAGCAACTGTTGTTAGTTTTTGTTAAATTATTATAATTTATTTAAAATCTTAGATATAATATTGGAACCTATATTCCAAATAAATTCTTATAATTTATTTAAATTTTAAATAATTCCCCATAATTTAGATAAAAAAGTTAAACTACAGCTCTAAATGATTAATAGAAAATAAGAAGTCATTTTTTTTAAGTACAGGGACCTTGTTAAAATAATTTTATAGGAACTTCTCTAAACATCTAGTGAAGCCATAAAAACCTACAGTATTTAACCTTTCTCTTCAGCTTTTTTTACTTTGTTTTGCTTACACTATTTCGAATTTTGTGCATGAATTAGTTTAGTATTAGAAATGATATTGAAGTATTAATTTTCGTAAAAAATAATATAGAAAGCATGAAAGATATTATACAGGTGTGGGATCTGAATTTTATTCAACGTTAGGGGAAATAACAAACCAATGTAGGATCTGGTTTTTTATTTAGTAATAACCTCAGCTATCTTCAATTCAAATAAAATATTGCAGCAATCGATAATGAATGATTTAAGTGTTTTATTTTTTAAGTTTTGAAATTGGAGGAAATGATATTAGGGGAGTCATCTTCTATATATATATATATATATATATATATATATATATATATATATATATATATATATATATAGATCCCACCATATTTGAACTAAATGGGATAAAAAAACTAAAAATAATACGGTTGCTATAAGAAAAAATATATAAAGCCTGAAGAAAAATGGAAGAAAATGACTTCACTACACTAATTAGAATATAATACCTATGTGTTTGAAAAAAAAAAGAATATAATACCTATGACATAATTAAAGTGGCTGAATAGACCTTGCGAATTGAGTGTGAATTATATATACAAATTTAAAAATCAAATTAAAAGGTGGTAGACCCTTGCCAACAGGCAAGAGACATTGTCATCATATAATAAAAAGTTTAATTCTGAGAAAGATTCCTTGCTTCTGTGCAACATGTTCCTAAAATATAGAACATGTCAACTCCCATGCACAGAAAATGACAAACAAGAAAGTTTTGTATAAGTCATTACGTAGAGCTAAGAGAATTCTCTTATTTTCTTGTGAATCCGCACGAGAACCGATTTCTTCTCCCTTGCGTAGCCTTTATAATCCAATTGCTTTGTTTAATCCTTCGAATATTTGTCTTCATTAAGTTTCTCTCTCTCTCTCTCTAAGTCCTCCAAAACACAAAATATTGTGTTCAGACAAATGTATAGTCAAATTTGGGTGTCTTGTAGCCAAAACCTAATCCTTGGAAATGATTCCCTCATTG